TCCCTCTCCCCCACCCACCCCCTCTTCCCCCACACGACAAAAAGTTGAAGCAATCCACCTATTGAAAACACTTATTGTGCGCAATTTCCAACAGCTGAAAAGAATCTAGAACGTGCTCTACTTGTGCCTGTATAGCTGACCCACACACACACATCCAAAACAAGGTCCCCTGCAGAGTTGTCTGAGCATGGGAAAAGGAAAAAATACGCCTCGGGTCGAATTGGGATTAGCTCCTTGAATAGGACTAGAGATTAAAGTTTTATGAAGAGATACATGTTTACCCTGTACAGCTTGTTTTTTGGTTGGGGTTTTTTTATAGCGCCTTTGAAGGAGTTGCTTTTAGCATTTCCTCCTGTAGTTGGTATTTTTGAACAATCTCATTTTCATTCTGTGTATAACTATTATTTTGGTGATTGCTGCTGTAAACTTTATTTATATATAGATGTGTGTATGCGAGTGATTTCTTTATGAGAACAACTGTTTTATTTATTAATGATTTTATACATTTATCTTTTTATCTTTGCATCTTTGTATCTAGTTAGTTAGTTAGTTAGTTAGTTAGTTAGTTAGTTAGTTAGTTAGTTAGTTAGTTAGTTAGTTAGTTAGTTAGTTAGTTAGTTGGTTGCTTCTTCATTGCATAAGCTCGAGACTGCACATAATAAACAAATGACAATCCTTTGTTAATGGCTGCCTGAAGAGACAATGAGAATCCACAGGTCGGACATCGCCAGAGTTGTAGTGTTATGGTGGGGATCCAAACAACAACCGATAACTGACTGTGAGATCAACACAAGACAATAGTGATAGATTGGGCACACACTTATGATAGGACACACTAATGATCGACACAAGAAAATGGCGATAGATTGGGCACACTTTTAATAGGACACACTTATGACAGGACACACTTATGATCAACACAAGAAAATGGCGATGGATTGGACACATTTATGATCAAAACAAGAAAACACAAGCAGGTGTGCATAAAAATAAAATTTTAATTATAATATATTACTCTCATTAAAATTCAATACGAAAAGAGAAATAAAGCTGACAAAATGTACATATCACATCAGATGCATCATTCAACCACATGCAGGAATTTAATTACGAGACCTTTAGAGTTATATACAGATACAGACTCTAAAGAGCAACACACATCTATGCTTATTCTGACAAAAGCCTTAATATGCTAGATGGTAAAAAAAAACTTATTTTATAATATCTTTTTTTCTTTGTTTTTGGAGGTACATATCTGCCGCTGCGTGATCTGACAATTCACGTGGAAAGGGGGTGTGATGGGTCGTTTTTGAATGCTTTTTATCTTTTTTTTATACTTGTGGTGTTATACATTTCATCATTTCTAGTAAAATCATATCAGGAGATCTTGCTGGTTTTCTTAATGATTCTGTCAAGTTGTATCTTTTCTCTTTACAATACAAATGTCTGTCCTCGTGGTTTTATGCACCCCGCATAATTTAGCAATATTTGATCATTTTTTTGCATAATTTCTGATAATTTTCCCTTAAAATTCTTTGTTAAAATTAACAGAATCGCACAATTTCACATTTTTGGGCTCTGTTTGCAGAATTTCAGAATTTTTCTTGCATAAAACGACGGGGACAGAAATACAAACAATTCAAAATACGGAGATCTATAAAAGCCACTGAGCAACGCCGGAAATGTGTGATGGTGATGATGATGATGACGATGACGATGATAATGATGATGAGACTGGATCAACGGATGTTGTTGAGGTGTGCAGAATAACGTTTTAAAAGAGGAATCAGACGCACTCTGCTCACCTCTCTAGCTTCTACAGCACAAAGTCTGTTTCGACTATCAAGGCACCCCGGAAATAGTGGGTCACAAGAGAGTGACAAACATACAAAAGACAGAGCCAGATGGGAAACTAGATGGAATCTGTTCTTTAAATTATGAAGGTGTTTTTACGCTCCTATTGACATAATTTAAGGATGAGGTGGAAACAAGGCGGTGGCGATGGATTGGGCATACTCTCAGGAAGTCAAGCAGCTGCATAACAAGGACAGTGTGGAATTGGAACCCACAGGGTAAAAGATCAAGGGGAACACCATGCAGAACTTGGTCCGACACTCATGTCTGCGCTCGGATAGGCCAGCAACAACATTTCTCCAGCGAAGCCTGTTCTGTGCATCCTTTTCAGGCTGTTTCCATGGTGTCCGGGCCTTTTCCGTTTCCGCTTGTACCGCTCGCCTCCATGTCATCTTTGGTCTTCCCTTTTTCCGTTTTCCTTGTGGATTCCACGTCAAAGCCTGTCTGATGATGCTTGTCGGGGGTCTCCTCAGGGTGTGCCCAATCCATTTCCATTTCTTCACCTGTATGTTGTCTTCCTCTACTGGCTTTTGGCTTGTTCTTTCCCACAGTTGAGCATTTGTGACTCGATCGTACCACTTGATCCCCACTATCCTGCTTAGACGGATGCTCTAATAAAATGTAATTCTTGTTTTCCTTAAAGCTTTTCCCACCTCCCATCTGTTCAAGCTCACTAAGGAGAAGGGTTAATGAGTCGAACCCTTCGCCTCTCAGAACACAATATTGTTCACCTCTTAACCACCAAACTTAGGCCCGTGTGCAAGTTGCGCACGTTAAAGATCCCTTGGTGGTCTAAAATCGATAAGAGTAGGCCTCGGCCGCCACCCAGGCAAAATTTTAAAATTCCTACCAACTAAAAGTATTAGGTGTGTCCCGCGCGCTCATATGACCTTATGCAGTTGCGAGCGCCGTAAAAGTTAGTAAAACACATACCAAAGAACCCCCAAAACCCAAACTTAGTTCTTAAGAAAGCCTAGTTCTTAACACACAGAGACAGTGCTACGCTGGTCGACAACAGTAGGGTTAATGAGTCCAATTCTCCGTGTGTGAGAGCACAATAGTGCTCACCCTTGACTGCCGTGCTCAGATCTGAACAAACAGAAACAGTCCCGGGTTGGGCGGCAATAGTAGGGTTAATGTGTCCAATTCTCTTACTTGTTCCCAGCACTAAATGATAATTGCTGAGTCTATGTACTTGTCCATTCACTAACCCCCCCCCCCACACACACACACACATTTATTCACCAACCCAACCCTCCCCACCAAAAAAAAAACACAACAAAAAACACAACAAAAAACAATAAACACAGACAGTTAAACAAACAAAACAAGCTAAACTCCGTGGTGTACACGTGAAAGTGTTAATGGGCGCTCATATGACCTTATTAATATGCAGTTGCGAGCGCCGTAAAACTCTCACTAAACTAATCCAAACAAAAGAGTTAATAATGGTAATGTACCTAATTCCTTACTAATCCAAACAAAAGTGGCGTCGGTAGCCTAGAGGTCAGGCTACCGGACTCGTAATCGTTAGATTGCGAGTTCGGGGGTTCGAGCCTCAGCTCGGTCCGACGTTGTGTCCTTGGGAAAGGCACTTTACACGAATTTCCCACTTGGCTCGGTCCTATCGGAGACGGACGTTAAACTAGGAGGTCCCGCCCCTTAAATAACCTAATAGTGTTGATAGGGGCGTTAAACCTATACCATTTCCCCATTTGTTCCAAACAAAAGAGTTAATGATGGTAATGTACTAATCCCCCACGACTGAGTGGCCGTACAACTCGTCCTTTATTCAGGACACCCCCCGGGTCACTTCAGTAACAACTGTCTGCCCGGGTGGGTGAGTGGGGGTGGGGGTGGTTGTGTACGATCCTGTGACCTTTGACCTCGGGTAATTGGTCATGAACTAGCATTGATGGCTCGCTACTGCTCCCTGGGGCACGTGGGAATGGGACGTT